AGCTCCCTAAACAATGATTGTATTTAAATCATCAGAATAGTTATGCTTGGTTTTGTATTTGGTAGTATATACTAAATTCAATGAAAATTAGTTTATTTTATTGAAATATGAATTTTTAGGTAAAAAACTTAAGTTTTAGAGTTATCATCAGTTTTTGGGACAGAGTAATTGTTACCTTCTTTAGCTTCTTTATTTGATATATTTTGTATTTATTGTGATATTAATTGTATTTCTTATACGAAGTATTTTTTATTTATATCAGCTGCAAAGCCTTTAATAAGTAGGTGCAAGGGTTATTGTCTCCTCTAATCCTCTGCCGCTTTAGTTTAAAAAGAAAATATAGTGTAATTTTTCTCATATTCCTAATCTATTGACATTTGCTTTGATTTTTCACTCAAGCCATTATTGGCGTTTTTTAGTAGCGGTTGAAGGACATTCAAGCGGACATTTTGGTGAAAAAAAGATCATGATACTAAAACACCCGTTGTTGCGAAGTGAGAGTGTTGGAAAAAGAATCACCATGGCATTTCATCAAATACATAGATTGATCAGGTAAAAATGTTGAACTGTTTCATATTTAAATATTGGAGTTCATATTAGTAGTAAATTTGTAGTTTTTGAAATTGAAGTGTCACACTTTTTGTAGCATCATTTGAGCATATTTATGTCTAAAAGTTGATGAACCAGACTCTTCTTATCATATCCTATAAACAAGTACATGATATAAATGTTAGGCCTGTTAGCTCTAAACATGATTTTTTCAATGAATGTAATCATCTAGCAATGATAGATTTTTTATGATGGTGCTTTCAATCCTGTAATACTTAACTTATTATATTTTTCATGTTTTACATGGGATTTGCTATGTTTGAAGAGAATATGAGCACTTTAAGGGGTTTATCACAAAAGATTTGGAATTACTTGTCCAGTGTCCAATTCTTACAGTGAGTGAATGATTTATTGAAGAACTTTACCTTTTATTGTTATTATTATATTATATGATTACATTTTTATGTTTAGAATGTCAACAAATGTTAATCTAGTAGTGTTGTTATATTTGGCTTAAGAATAGAAGACTAAGATTATTATGTATATACATTCTAAGAATATTTTTTTAATATTGATTTTTATTTTAGTAATATTCTAGGTGTATATATAGTATTTATGTACCAAAAGAGAGTTTCATTGCACAAAATATCAAAGGCAATTCACAGAAAATCTGTCCAAATACTATGTTTGTGCAGTGAAAAATCTAATATTCATTGCACAATGGGCTCGCATTGGCCACGAATTGAGGTGTTGCACAAATAATGTATTGGGCAACGTAGTTGAGTTTATTGCCCAAAGTAGCATGTGCCACGATGATTAGGCAATGACCTCATGACGAGTTCAATATTGTTGCACATATGCGTGGGCAAAAAAATATCGACTTCGGGCGGCGACTTTTTTCATTGCCCAAACTGTTTTTTCTTGTAGTGCAAGGATGGATGAAGTACTAAATAGAAAATGTTTTTGAGTTGTAATTGAATGAGTTTTTTTTGTTATGGTGTTTTCACATTGGTTGCTTTTTAAGAATGTTTCACTTAAGCTTGATTTAGTTTGAGGCATGATCACATTAGATTTAAATATATTATATCAGACATAAATAGCAAATGAGTTAGATTAAACTTAGACAATAATAAGATAGGTATATATTTTAGACATTTATTGCACAAAATTATACTAGACTTAAATAGACAAGACTAATCAAGACCGTACAACTCAAATAGATGTAAAAACATTTTAAATACTTTAAACTTTTATGTAGAGTTTTTTTTGCATAAAGGAATAAAAATTGATTCTATAAGGAACACTTTGTAGCTCATGATGGGCGCGAGTCATGGGCCAACTTATAAGCCCGTGCGGATCATGGGGTGAGGCGGATGCACTTAATAAAGTCGTGAGTGCGGGTCTGGATCTTGCACTCCTTGCCACCGACTCGTTATCTTGCCTACTCACCGTTGTCCAATTATTGGTTTTCAATGACTTGGGCCTAAGCTGAGGGCATTTTTTATATTATAATACTCCATATATATTTAAAAAATAACAATTCAATATATACAGCCACATAATTTCTAAGTACATCCCTTGATTTAAATAAATAGATAAAACAACCCGCACGGGGTAGCTCAGTTGGTCGAGTGGTGGGAGATTTGGAACAATGGACCAAAGTTCGAATCCCCGCAGCGACCGGGTGGAGGTCACAAAACCTGAAATAAGGCTAGGCCTCTGATGCGCACGGGTGTATGGGTCTACTGCCATTCTGCTGACTGAGTCACCGTGACTAACCTCCCCACCATCCTGTTGGGTCGGGGTGGGGGCTCCTAGGGTGGGAGATTCCACCTTTTGGAACAATAAATAGATAAAACAATTTATAGTATCTATCTTACCATTTTCATTTCTTACCGGAAAAATCTTTCTTACTGTAACCGGACCCCTCTATGTTTGAACTTTCTATGAAAGTAATTCAATGAGACAATATAACAACATTAAAAAGTTTAACATCGTAAGATTGCCAACATGATAATAAATAGGGAGAAATATTACATAAGTCCTCGAACTTTCATAAAAAGTGCAAATAAGCCCTTTTACAGGATGCTTTGTCTGGCTGTCGTCATTGGGGACGGTTTCCGGTGGAATGTTTTATGAAAGTTTTTGAGCATATTCTTAATTAAGTATAGTTTACTAATATCAAATTTCAGCAAAAAATTCAATCGAGAAGGCAGTGAAATGAATTTTTGAAGATAACTGCGCAGTTAGACAAAGCAGTATATTTCAGAAAATCTTTTGACTGCCTTCTCGATTGAATTTTTAGCTAAACTTTGGTATGAGTAAACTAGACTTAATGAAGAAGATGCTCAAAAAATTTCATCAAAAAATTCCACTGGAAACCACCTCAAATGATGACAGCCGGACAAAGCCTCCTATAAAAGAACTTATTTGCACTTTTTTATGAAAGTTCGAGGGGTTATCTGATAGTTCTTCCTAATAAATAAATACGGAGTACCTTAGTAGTTAAGAATGAGTGTTGTGAAAAATGAATTTTCATCTTCTAACTAACTAGGATAATGGGTCATGCTTGGTGTACACAAGATGTGTACATTGCCCGTGTAGACAAGCAATTGGGAAGGTTTTGTGTACAGTTTGTGTACAATTTGTGCAAAACTCATGTACACTAAGCATTTTCCACAGGATAATATTATCATCATCATCTTCGTTGACTTAATGAGAAAAAAATCGAACTACATTATCTGATAACGTTTATGCAACTCAAAGTCAGCATTTAGTAATAGTTGTGAGATAATTGGGAAAACCATACTCCAATAGGAGTCCTGGCAGATATATTTATAGTAAAATAAGAGTTGCCAAAATACACAAGGATTCCTAATTTATATTAACTATTACACCCCCTCAAGCTGTGCGGGAGATACAACGCGCAGGTTGTCTTTTAAAAAATGAAACTGCTGACTAGATAAACTTTTAGTAAAAATATCCGCAAGTTGCAAACGTGTAGGAACATACTTCACGACCAGATCACCATCGGCCACTCGCTCATGAACAAAATGATAATCAATTTGAATATGCTTGTTGCGTGCATGCTGAATAGGATTAGCTGTTAGGTAAGAAGCAGAGATATTATCACAAAATAACTGAACAGGCTCGCGGATTGGATAACCAAGCTCAAATAGGACCGATCGAATGTGTAATGTGTCTTGCATTGTATATGCTATGGCACAGTATTCTGTTTCAGTAGAAGATTTAGAGACTGTAGGCTGCTTCTTGGACTTCCATGAGACAAGGTTGGGACCCAAGAAAACAGCGAAACCTGTAGTAGAACGAGAGGTATCCGGACATCCTGCCCAATCCGCATCAGAATAAGCTAAAATACACATAGGGCGAACAGACTTCTGAAGCCATAATCCGTGATCAATGGTTCCCTGCAAGTAACGAAATATGCGCTTGACAACAAGCATGTGAGTGGTGCGTGGGGCATGCATAAATTGAGACACTAAATGAACTGCATAAGTAATATCAGGTCTTGGCAAAGTTAAATACTGTAATGCACCTACCATACTACGATATTCCGTAGCATCAGACAAAAGTTCTCCATCAGTGAGGGAGAGAGATGTACGAGTGGTTAATGGCGTACGAACAGACTTGAGAGTGTGTAAATGAAAACGAAGGAGAAGATCTGAGACATATTTGTGTTGAGAAAGAAACAAACCTGTGGATGTGCGAACAGCTTGGATCCCCAAAAAATAATGAAGATCACCGAGATCTTTCATAGCAAAATGTGAAGCAATGCATGTAATGAAAGAGGACACAAGAGATGGAGAATTTCCAGTAATAATGATATCATCGACATATAGTAATAAATACATAACTGACTTCCCTTGACGAAAAATAAACAAAGAATTATCGGACTTACTACATACAAAGAAGGATTCAAACTGTGTACGCCAGGTGAGATAATCCTCGACTGCCTTCAGTTTAATGGTGATGATTTGAGAGACCGTGGTAATATGGGAAACCGACTGAGCAAGGGCAGACATCGGGGAGCCAAATCCCGGTTGATCAGGCGACCGAAGAACTCCCGGTGACCCAGAGAACGTAGGGCCGAAGAAAGACGTGACTGTCGGCTGCAACACCGTTGGAGGCGGCTGGATAGGGTCTGGCGTAGGCCATGTTTGCTGCGAAGGGAACGACTGAAATTGATGAATGGGCGCAGGCATAGTGAAATTTGGAGGTGGAGGAAAATTGGTGAACAGTGTTGAGGAAGTCGGCGTCATCACCGGTGATCCAGTGGCGCTCGAGATGGCGGTTGTGACGGCTGGAGGCGTGGAGAAGTCGGGCTGTGCCGTCTGAGGAGGGAGTGATGTGTACGCCGGCGCCTGGGAAGGAGCGGCAGCAGCGGCGGCCGAGCCTGTGGCTGAAGAAACCATGGCTGCGGCGCTGGAGTAGGGCGACGTGCTCATGATCGGCACGGAAGTTTAGGAGAGAGAAAAAAAAATTTAGGTTAAGGCTCTGATACCATGTGAGATAATTGGGAAAATCATACTCCAATAGGAGTCCAGACAGATATATTTATAGTAAAATAAGAGTTGTCAAAATACACAAGGATTCCTAATTTATATTAACTATTAATAGTATGGGAGATTATTTTTATCTAAAGGTTTCTTCTTAAATTACATCATAACAATATATTTAAAAGTAATAATTTCTGAAATCCTAAACAACCCAAATTCTGTTTTGGGGTGGGTGTTTGGCATTCTACTTTTCTCTCATTTGATGTTGTGAAAGCTTGTTGTCGTAAAACTAAAAATAACCAGTGTTCTTTTCTTTCAAAATTTTGGAGAGTTTGCTCAAGCTAAACAACCAACTGTAAGCCAAGAGTTTTTAATTACTCATACATAAGGAGTAATTGCGGGGCATTTCTATGCAAGTGGAGCTATCTAAAAACCTCAAGTTCTTCAAGTCAAGTATAATATCTGGGGATTTATGGCGTGCTCGGCAGCTGCTTGATAAAATTCCTGACTCAGATTTACGGTCATGGACAGTACTGATTTCTGCATATACGAAATGGGGCCGTCCAAAAGAAGCAATACAAGTCTACAATGAACTTCGAGGCCGGAATATTTATCCCGATCAATGGACATTACTCTCAGCCTCCAAAGCCTGTGGTTCTGCAAGGGACCTAAGAAAGGCAAAAGGGATTCATGAAGATTCCATTCGATTTGGGTTTCGGTACGAGCTAGTGATTGGGAATGCTTTGATTGACATGTACTGCAAATGCAAACACTCTGAAGGCGCAAGAACTGTTTTCGACGATTTAAGTGTGAAAAAAGATGTCGTGTCTTGGACCACAATGTGCTCTTGCTATGTGAAATGCAGGCTTCCAATAAAAGCTATCGACATTTTTCGTCAGATGATGTTTTACGGGGTTTGGCCAAACTCGGTGACACTGTCTTCTCTTCTTCCCGCTTGCTCAGATCTAAAGTATCTAACTTTGGGCAGAGAGATTCATGGACATGTTATCAGGAAAGGAATGGGAGACAATGTGTTCGTTTGCAGTGCGCTTGTGGACATGTATGCCAGCTGTTCAAGAATCAAGAAAGCGGAATTAGTATTCCTCAACACGCCTAGAGTAGACGTTGTTATATGGAACGTTGTCATATCAGCATATTTATCCCACGGGGAATACGAAAAGGCGATGTGCATGTTTTCCCAGATGAGAAATGAATTCGGCCTCAAACTAAACGAGGATTCTTGGAATGCTGTTATCGGTGGTTGTGTAAAGTGTGGAGAAACAGCGCGATCACTGGAATTGCTAACTGAGATGCAGAAATCCGGGACCAAACCGAATTTAATCACAATTACCACCATCCTCCCTGCCTGTGCGTATTTAGAAAGCATAAGAGTGGGAAAGGAGATTCACTCTTTCATCTCCCGACACGGATTTCTCGATGACATTACTACTGCCACCGCTTTGCTACTCTTGTACTCAAAGTGTGGTTCTCTAGAACTATCCAGAAGAGTCTTTGACCGAATGCCGAATAAAGATACCATTGCATATAACACGATGATTTTTGCTAATACAATCCACGGGGAAGGAGCAGAAGCCGTTTTGCTTTTCAACAGGATGATAAGTTCGGGCTTGAAGCCAAACAAGGTGACTTTCACCGCCGTGCTGTCTGGCTGTAGCCACTCCCGTCTAGTTGATGAGGGTTTCACTATCTTTCATGTGATGTCCAAAGATCACGGAGTTGAACCTGATGAACAACACTATTCATGTTTAGTTGATGTTTTTAGCCGTGCGGGCCGTTTGGAGGAAGCTTATTGTTTCATCAAAGAGATGCCTATGAAACCAACTGCCAGTGCATGGGGAGCATTGCTTGCCGGATGTAAGGTCTATAAGAATGTCAGGTTGGGAGAGATTGTTGCAAATCAATTGTTTATGGTTGAGCCAGAAAACCCAGGGAATTATGTTATGTTATCAAACATCTTTGAAGCTTCAAAGCTAAGAGAAGAAGCATTGAAAACCAGAGAACTGATGAGAGAAAGAGGAATTAAGAAGTTACCGGGGCGTAGTTGGGTCCAAGTGAAGAACAAGACATACTCGTTTGTTTCTGGGGATAAAAGCCATAATCAGAGTGAAGAGATATACAAGTTCTTGAATGGGATTCGTGAGAAGATGAGAGTGGCAGGGCGTTTGCCAGATACTGACTTTGTTTTACAGGATGTTGATGTGGAGGAGAAGGAGTCAAGTTTGTGCTATCATAGTGAGAAGCTTGCAGTTGCTTTTGGAATACTGAATTTGAAAGAAGGATCGACTCTTACTGTCTTTAAGAACTTAAGGATATGTGGAGATTGCCATAATACAATCAAATTTATTGCAGAACTTGTTGGCCTGAGAATTGTCGTAAGAGATTCATTAAGGTTTCATCACTTTAAGGATGGGTTGTGTTCCTGCAAAGAGTTTTGGTGAAGCAACAAATCTTCTGCAGCTGTTGGTAATGATATTCTCTTTCACATTGTTGAGGTCAATACCCTAAACTTAAAATTTTCATTTTTATCCGTTCATTCTTCAAAAGACTAATGCTAGAGGCACCCTATTTGCTGCCTGATGGGTCAGACCCATGAAATTTTCATTATGGTGTTTTTAAAACCATATTTTCATAAGGAGTGTGTAACATATTTGATAATTGTAGTGTTCTTCTAACATCTTTCTTTTTCGAATTTGTTTTATCAAATAATCATATGCACTGAATTCACTTGTATTAATTTCAGTCTGTTTGGAAGCACGACAAGAATAAATAGAATACTTGGAATAAGCAGTTTTAACTTATTTGGCTGATTTGGATGTTAGCAAACGTGTTACAGTATTAAATTCAATCATTTAAGCCAAACAACTCTTACTGAACAGGGTCTTAGAGCCTCTTAATGCTTTTCTTGTAAATGGTTTGTGAAAGGGTAGGAGAGATTATGATATAATAATGCCCATTTCATTAGTTAGAAAATGAAACTTCCATTTTTTCCACACATATACTTGCAAACAAATCACAAGTTTCATTGTTTCATTATTGGGGGATGTTCACCTCCCATCATGTGGTTAGTTTTTTTTGGTGGAGATGTTAAGCTCTCCTCCTTGTACTCCAAAGAGACCATTCAAGGTAACACACAAGCACACCCTCCCTCGACGGCTTAAACCAAACAACCAGTGCAAATTAGTACTACTTTGAATGTTTTTATATTATAGATAGGACTGAGTAACACTGCAATATTTGGTTTACAGGCAAGAAAATCTCCATTCCAGTCTTCTCTGATGGATTGAAGAAAATTGTGCGGATACAACAGATACAAGAAAGCAGCAGCCATGAAATTGGTACATTTCTATTGAAAAGATCAGATGGATGAGTCTGGTTGGACTAGTTGGGCATACCAGACACCTTGGATCTTTACATCCTTTGGAACCTTTGCACCCAAATCAGTGTCAGACGGCTGAATGCTCTCAAAGACTCCAACCACCTCCCCGGTCTCTGGCTTGCTCTGGCTAACACTCATCCTAATCTTCCCTGTCGAAGATGCAGTGTTCTTGTTGTTCTCCTTCTCAAGTTCCTCCTCATCTCCTCTCCCACCAGCCGGCAATGCCACTGCATTGTCATAACCAGTGGCCCCACCCCTCCCCTTTGGATCAAGGAAAGTGGAACCCCTGTATGATGGCACTAGAAAATCACCGCCGAAGTCGTCGGGCTTCCCGGTGGCCACGAGCTGCTTGACTGTAAAGAGGAAAGGGACACGCTCGCCACCAGGAAGCTGAACAGTGACAGCAGCATAGTCGATCCCGTCCTTCTCTTCGAACTTGACAGTGCCATCAGGCGAGATCTCAAACGGTCCTTCCATCTCGTCGAGGGTATAGGTCAGGCGGGTCATGAGCTTTGTGGTTTGGAAGTCAGCTTGGGAGTTCTTGCCCACGCCACTGGCCTTGACGGTGATCGATGTGGGTTCCATGCAGAACTTTCTGGCAACATAGTTTCCAGGCTTGAAGGAGAAGGTTCCAGACCCTCCTTCAATGGTCGGGCACTGGTTGGCAGTTCCAGTTCCCTTCACTTCCTGGTAAGTCTTGCTCTGGATCTCATCATATGTTAGCCGTTTCGGAAGTCCTTCAGCATTTGCTCCCTGTATATCCAATCCATCCATATAAATTCCAATAGGTCACCCAACTCGATCCATTCATCCATACCAGTAAAAGTCTAAAACAATAAACTTTTTGATGCATTATTATAGTCAATTAATCATAAATCACAACAAAATAAAAAATTAAACCAATCTATTAGTTAGTCTAACACTGAAACTTACAAACCCGTGCATCTTACTCTCTGAACTTGCAACTCTGAACAGAGTATGTGCAACAATTGTATACAAAATTTAATACAGACTCTTCATCATATGCTTACAGGTTGCTTCTCTGTGTCATAAGAAACGGAGTGGGGCGGGGGAGGGGTTAAGTAAGTAAACAGTACATACAGAGGCGACAAGAGCAGAAGTGGCGAGGGCAAAAGCAGCAAGCTTGGCAGCATCAGTGCACCTTTGAGCCAAGTCCTTGAGGGGATTATTATGATGAGAGGAAGTGAGGGCGGAAAGGGGGGCGGCTTTGCCGGAGGAGGCAGGAGAAACGCCGCCGCCGCCGCTGCTTCTTGTTCTAACCTTATGATTATGATTGACAGCGGGTTGCATCATCAGTGTCGCTACTGCTTGCAGTGAGGAGGCTGCCATTGTGTTTTACCTTGATCGATCAGCGTGTTCAATTTTCAATTCCCAAATATAAGTTGTTTCTGTCTTTCTTTCTCTTTGAGACGGAGGTTTGTGTGGGGAGGATTTGATATGTGAGCAGTACTTTTGTGAGAGTATGATAGATATGCGGATAAGGTGGCTCTGTTTTGGTTGGTCTGGAACTCTGGATTAGATTATTTCTCTCTGACTTGGCTGTTTCGCCACGTGTCACGCACATCTTTAGTGGACGTTCGAGCTGATGGAAGCTGCCAAATTATACGGCACATTTTAATTTGAAAAATACTCGTCATACACACTTTCACATCTTCTCTTTCTTACACTTCTCTATTTTACGCACAGTGGCTGATCTAGTATTCATATTTTGGGTGTTCAAAATTACACAATTTCTCCTTATAATACTAATAAATGATCTATTACTTTAATTCATGCATATATATTCCCATTGATTTTATACTTTTAGGTGTTCACATGAACACCTTTGCATAGAAGACATTCGTCACTGCTTACACATACAGAGTTATTTATCCATTCTATGTACACAATTCTGTGTGCTACAAAAATGTGTACATTTAGCACAACTCATTTATAATATTTATTTTGTATTAAGGAATGTTTAGAGTTGATATTTTTGTTTTTTTGTAGATTCAATATAGTTTCTCATAAGTTAGTCCTTTCAAAAAAAAGTTTATCATAAGTTAGTAAATTCAACTACTAAAAGATTGCTTCTAGGTGCAAATTGGAGCATCCAGAAATATTTATGCAGTTACTTAAACACTCTAATATTTGATTCTGCTCTTTGAAGTAGCAAGAGCAATTTTAAAAACTAGATCCAAACATCCCTAAGATGTTTGTCTTAATGTTAGTACTATCTTTGTGGTTTCATCCCATTAACATTGGGATATGAGAAGACGTCACGGTTATTAAGAAATGTGAATTTATATGATTGTTATTGTATCATCTCCTTGATAGCACTACAACTTCAGGAAAAAAATTACTGCTCACCCGAACTCACATTTACGACCGTAAATTTCACGATCGATGAATTCTTCTCCTAAAATCTGAACAACCTCAACTAATCGGTGATGTTGCTCCCTCCTGCCAGGCGTTTGCTACCTCTTTCGCCGCTCTCTCGTAGATTCTACATCTAAAATCGCCCCAAACGCCTGAAAATTCTTCACTCATATCATCCAGATCGATGAATTCATCTTCTGAAATCTCAACAACCTCTGCAAATGAATGTTGCTCCTCCATCCTGCAAGATCTTTGGCTACTTTTAGTGCAGCTCATTTCAATCCTCTGTCTCGGAGGTATACAACAACTGATTCATTATGTTATCCCTCCATCAACTAATTCTTCTTTAGTATGTTTTATATTTCTAAAACCATACCGTGACAACTCTTCAGTATGTTGCAGTACTAATTTTCTGTTGTTGTTTTTCAGCAGATTATCTAATTAATCTACTGCTATGTTTCTTTTTGCTGCTACTTTAGCCATATGAGTTTAAATGTTAGTTTGTTTAAGCTTTTTGGCATTATGAGATTAATTTCATTCTGGCCGAAAGGAATTTTGTTCACAAATGAAGTTTAAGATACCCAACATAAGTCTGAAATTCTTTACTTTATTCTTCTACTATTTATTTTTTAAATTAGATTTACTAATTGTGTGTTTGCCCCATTGATACGGCCCTCAAAGGATATGAGCCAAGACTTGAGAAATGGATCATAATCACACTTCATGGATTGAAACACGTTGATAGGGAAGATGATTTGTTAACTTTCAGCATACCTTATCGCCAAGTCTTGTTGGTCCCGGTTATACTGGATACAGTCTAGAGGGGGGGGGGGGGTGAATAGACTGTATTGGTTTTTAACTTTTTAAGCTAAGTAACAGATTTACAGAATAGCCTGTTCTGTTGAAAGAACAGACTGGCAGCGGATGGGTTCTGGTAGGGAGTTCTGTTAGCCTCAGAGAAGCAATAGGCAGTAGGCCTTCTGTTAACTCGTAGAACAAGTTCTGCTGAACACAGATACCAAGTCCAAGGAGTTATACAGTTCTAACTAAGTGCAAGTATTAAAAGCAGTAAGTAAACGACACCAGGGATTTTTATAGTGGTTCAAGGAACAACTCGTTCCTCTAATCCACTGTTCCACTAAGCTGTAAAAACTGCCGTTTACAAAGCCTTAGTCCTAGTACTTAAGAAGCACTCCACGTCTTCTTCAAGCCTAGATGTGTCCTGGGATGCACTGCCTGGATTCCTTTAACACTGGTCCTTTCACTGAGTTTCCTTGAAGTATCACCACTTCACTACTCCAGTTATTTGGACGTCCTTCTTGTAGCAAGAAGAGTTTCTGTTGAAACTGGGGTTCCTCCAACTAGCTTCGTTACAAAAGATTTGTATGTGATGAGCTTGAAGAGTTGAAGAACACTTGGAACTTTGCTTGAGTTGGAAAGAGTATTTTTCCAACTTCTGCCTTCTCTTGTAGAAGATAATGAGTTTGAATCTCAAGGAGGCTTTTTGCTTTTCAAAGTTTGAATATCTTGCTTGTAGCAATGTGATCTTGGCAAAGTTATAGCAAAGTTATCCGGTTGTTCTTCGTAGTGTATCTTTTATACTGAGGTTGTCTTCCCGTTGGAGGAGTAGGAGGACAACTGTATTTAATGCGCGATCAGTTGACTTGACTAGTAGAGCCCGATAAAGTTGGCGGGTTACTATTTTGGGATAAAGTATTCCTGACATTGCGGCCAATCATCTGCAATTACTCTACGTAGCATGGGGTGCATTAAATGAGCATTTAATGCATGCACTGTAGCTTTTCCGTTTCATACTCCTAGCCGTTGAAGGAATCTTTTAGTTGATTTCCCGGTTCTTTGAAAATCTTCTAAGTGTCAGACCTTCTGGTGTCTTTGTCTGAGAGTAGAACAGAGGAGGCCTGGAGCACTTCTGTTGGGAGTATCCAACAGAAACCCATAAGGGTTTCTGTCAGAGTCAAGACAAACAGAGATCCTGAGGACTTCTGTTCTGGAGCAGAGAACCAAAGGTCCTCTGTTTCAATAAAGTCTTAAGAGACACTTCTGCTCTTGAAGTCCTTCTGCTCTTGAAGGTCTTCTGTCAAGTCGAATACATCTAAGAACTTTACAAAGGAAAATTCTAATACATAATTTCGAAAGGGGTACTCTAAGATCCTAATTAATCTAGCATCATCAAAATCTAATTACAATTATTCCTTACAAGTCTTTTGTTCCAATTCTAGAATGATCATTTGTCTAACACTTTTTAGTTAGTTTGTGGACCACTGCATTTTTTATATTGCATTTTTCATTTCAGGATATGACTTCTCATAACTTTCACTTATTTTTTTGTTCAGTCAACTCTCTTGATCAACATTGATTCCACATTTTGTTTCAATCTCCTGATTTTAGCTTCTAACTTTAGTTTTGTATTTCTTAAACAATGTCTGCTAACTTAAGGAAGTCAATTTCTTTACATTGAGAATTCTAAAGCTTCACATTTACTTTGACAAGGTATATATTTACTTCTTCAATATCTTTGATTTGGATCCTACTCACACTTCAAGGACTGAAACACTTTGATAGGGAAGATAGTTTGTCAACTTTCAGCATACCTTGTTATTCATTATTCTTCAAAATAGAAGACTGGATTTGTATAGTTTTCTTGATATACATAGTACTTCTTATTAGATACAGAGTTAGGTTTGCTTATTATAATCTTCCAAGCTTTAGTTCTTACTATTCTTTCATCTGTTAAATTTCTTTGTCTTATTTCTTTTGTCTTATTTCTCTTTTAATTGTTGAGGTTCAATGCTTTGTACTACTGCTGAACTACATGCCCCATATCTAAGAAAGATTTAGCTTTTAACTTGACTTCTTCGACTAATTCTTTTGGATTCTGGGGTCAAGAACTAATCCTTAAGTTTGACTTGAGTTTTTTTTTGTTCTAGGATACCTTGTGAGAGAATGATGCCGAGAGATTGACTCATGAATAAGTTTCAGTTCATCACGAGACATCCAAGTTTGATAGTCATACTTATAGTTAGATCAAACTGCACTTTTTTCCAATAAAAGAGTTTAAAGAACAATTTGATATTTTTCAGCACACAATCCTCCCACTAATATATGGACGAATCAATTTAAGCACGATTAAAATACTTATGGGTACGTTCGTCTCATTTATGGGGAAAGACTCCAAACCAGGGAATGTACGTCCTAACAGGCCGGGGAGTAAATTGACTTTGAAATTCCAAAGTTCGTGGGACGTATGTCCCCATCTGGAGACGCTTTCCTCCTACTTCAGGGGAAGTACGTCTCCACCGGTGATGCTTCCCCCTACTTCCGGGGACGTACGTCCCCAACAGGCCAGGGAGTAATTTGAATTTGAAATTTTCCAGTTGGGGGGAGGTACGTCCACAACTGAAGACGCTTTCCCCCTACTTCAGAGGACGTACCTCCGCAACTGGAGACGCTTCCCCCCTACTTCAAGGGATGTACGTCCTCAACAGTCCAGCAAGGCCCAATTGCAAAACATAACGATAAGTCGCCAACACGCGGGGGAGTAAATTGAGTTTGAAATTCCCCACTTCATGAGACGTACGTCCCCATCTGGAGACGTTTTCCTCCTAATTCAGGGGACGTACATCTCCAACCGCAGACGCTTCCCCCTACTTCAGGGGACGTACGTCCCCAACAGGCCATGGAGTAAATTGAGTTTGAAATTATTTAGTTCAAGGGACGTATGTCCACAACTGGAGACGCTTTACCCCTACTTCAGAGGACCTACGTCCCGGACTGGAGACGCTTTTCTCCCTACTTCAAGGGACGTACGTTCCCAACAACCCAACAAGACCCAATTGCAAGACATACTGATAAGTCGCCAAACGGTTTCGGGGAAGTCTCTGTAATTTCTTAATAGCATCAAATGTTCTGGTGTGCCAAGTCATGCACTGAAGCTTAAGGTGGGTGTGTCTGTGATGCTTATGAGAAACATATATCACACTGTTGGGTTATGCAATGGCACGAGACTCATGGTAACTAAACTCGGGACTCATATTGTTGAGACTCAGATGATGTCAGGATCAAATGCTGGTGAAAAATATCTTATTCCCAGACTTAGTTTAACTCGTACGGGCTTGAAGCTCCCCTTCACGTTTCAGCACAGACAATTTCCTCTTATGGTTAGTTATGCGATGACGATTGATAAGAGTCAAAGACAATCGTTAGAAAGGGTTGGTGTGTTCTTGCGGCGTCCAGTTTTTACTCACAGACAGTTATACGTTGCGGTATCGAGAGTTACAAGTCCATCTGGATTAAAATTTGTCATATGTGACGATGATGGTCAACCAAGCAATACTGCTCTAAATGTTGTTTATAAAGAAGTGTATAACAATTTATAGGTTTTTTCATATGTCATTTCTTATATGTTAAATTCTATCCTTCGAATGTTTAAATTATAGTTCTATAATCATTCAAATCCTTACATTCTCGATGAAATGTTTTCCCGTGCAACGCACAGGTTAAAAACTAGTTGATAAAATAACCAAGCATTCCAGCCCAGCTGGTTGTGAGGTTACCGTGCTTGGTGGGAGATCTCGAGTTCGAAACCCGCTAGACACATAAGGGTTTGAAACTCAATGGAATGAGTTTCAACCCTGATTACTCCAGGCCCCCCAGGCCCCTCCTCCTGACCCCCTGGACTAAAAAAAAGAATCGATAAAATAAGAATAAATTAACCAAAAAACAATCTTAGTGGAACAAAGGAAGTTGTATTTTTAAATGAAATTGTTTATCTTGTACTACCTCCGTCCCTTAAAACTTTGCCAAAGTTGACCGGCACGGAGAATAATAAAGTAAAAACTGGGTGGTTGAGGTTTGTGCAGGGGAGAGAGAAATAACAGAAACCACAAAATAATTGATTAAAAGGGAAAGTGACAAAGTTTTTTGGGACGTCCCAAAAAGGAAAGATGGCAAAATTTTAAGGGACGGAGGGAGTATGATGAATAACAAGTTTGAGTTTAGTTAAATAATCAATAAGGATTATATTATTATTACTAATATTATTGGTTTTTACTATCAAATGAGAAATGTAACACAAGGTTTATCTTTATGTATCTTTATTCGGTGCACATTTAAATATTGTGAGAAAAACTACTATTTTTGTCCCGAAAATGTTCGACATATTGACTTTTCTTGGTCAAAGATGACAAACTTTGGACAATGATTTTAGTTTTTATATTTGTATATAATTTATAAACTTTATACTTTTATGAAAATATTTTGAATAAGGAACATTTTGACATAAATGTCATATTCTAAATAATTTAGTATTAAAAAATATAATTGGTCAAAGTTGATTACCATTGATCAAAAAAGTCAATTTGGTGAACCTTTTCGGGACGGATGGAGTATTTTTTATTGCTAGTAATGCGGTCATGATGAATTATTTAAGAAGTTTTGTTAAATACGAGTGAAATAATGTGAAATTTTAAATTATATGTTTTGTGTCTTTATTTTCTAAATAGAAGTAATTATATTTTACTTTCTTGCTTAGAAGATATTGTCAATTACGACGTTGATATTGTCATATTAATGTTTGATAATGTTATAGTATCAGTAAATTACTACTCATAGTTGTTATACCGTGAAAGTAGTCCATGATGAGCATCTTACTCTTAAAACTAAAACATGTGTGAACATTTTTTTCTCAATAGCAGGGTAGTGTACCTCGCGTTTAAAGAAATGTAACTCATGTTTGTGAGAAATGTAAGTGGAAGCGGGTTTAGTCACCCAATTATTTTACATGAGTAGAGAATATTTGTTTTTTTAAATCAAGGCTATACAAAATGATATATTTAAAAAAATCATACTCCCGCACCTAAAAACATGCATGAACAATGATCTTTTGTATCTATAGCAGGATTTATTTTTTTATGTAACTCGGGTTATGGTAAATGTTACTTGAAAAATGTAAAATATAACTTCCTAATGCAAGTCCTTATGTAACTCGCACATTTAAAAATATCCGCGCACATGAAGCTGTAAAACGTGCATAAAAAGATGTAACTCGCGCACATGAAAATGTAAATCATGCATAAAAAGATGTAACTCTATGTATTATTTAATGTAATTGCTGAAATCATGTATAAATATAATTCACACAAATGAAAATGTAAATTACACATATGAAAATGTAATCTCATGTTTTATCGATTATAAATTGAAATAAATATACTCAATGTTTTAAAAACCCACAAAAATATATAAAAGTGAAAAATATGTTATAGGAAAAGTGTATGAATATAAAAACTATTACAGAAAAAATATGTATAAATATTAAATGCGATTTACTTATTTTATTTGGATTAATAAAAATTTTGCTAGAAATTGATAAAATATAAAAATAGATTGCATTGTAATTTAAGTTAAAAATAAAAGAAAAGTCAAATTGCAATTGCATTTTTAATACTTTGAAGGAGAAGGAGAAAAAAATTGAACAAAAAGAAAAATAAAGAAGGAGCCAAGGAAAAAACGATGCACTCCAGAAAAAAAAGGGAGGGTGAAATGCCTAATAGCACCATGTGCACGGTGTAACAATGCCACAATGTAATTTGGCATAAATTAGTCCTACTTAATTTTAAAAAATTTACTAGAAAGTTGAAACCAATACTTTACTTTAAGAGCATCCCCAATGCTAGTGCACGATGCACATGTGGCATGAGAGAGCTCCATAAATATTAGTAAGTAAATTCTTTCTCTCCTTATTTGAATGATTTTGTACAGTTTTGGTAAGTTTTTCTTCACAATGTCAAGGAGACCGTCTAAATATTGACATTGCAGAGAAAAACTTACCAAAATTGTATGAAATCATTCAAATAAGGAGAGAGATAATTTACTTATTAATATTTATATGGCTATCTCTCATGTCACATATGCACCGTGTATATTGTAGCATTGGAGTTGCACTAAGAGTTTTACTTTTATTATTGCTACATGCTAGTATTAATTTTGGAATTTTATGTCATGGAGCCTTATTTGGTCGACTGGACCGGCCTACGACGATCATTGGGCCTCACCTCTAGAAAATTTAGCAATTGTCGCAGTTTGTATCCGCAACCGTTCACACTCCAAAAGTAAATGTTTAGTTGTTGCATTTGCAATCACTAATATAAAAAACAAACTGAGGACCTTTTGTTTCGGTTATAAGAACGCCTCAAAGTTAATTATTCTTAATTCTTAATAAAAGCATTTTAAAAAGTGTTTCTAAAATTTACTACTGGTTTAACGACTTTTTACAAAGAAAATAATCAAACCAATTCTATTTGGAGTGTGATGGGATATTAGGGTCTGACCCAATATATCGACCCAAAATATCCCTAGGGTCCAGGGAACGGGAAAGACCCAAGGAGAAATGGATGGCCCCGAACGGGAATTCGGTGGCATAAGAGATACGGAGTACTTCCGTTCGCCACATCCCGAACGGAACGTAATTAACACTTGACAATTAGTGTTCTTCTGGATCATTAGCTTAGCGAATCTTAATACCGACCGAGGATTCGCTCAAGTGGCAAGCTGCATTTAATGCTGGAGTATGGAGGTCTCAAGTGGGAGCATGGGTGCATAAGTGGCTTAGAAAGCAGCCAATCATAATAGATCACCCCATACCCCCACCTACCCCCAACTAGTATAAATAGCAGCATTTATTTCATTGTCACTACAAGAAAAAACGTTTTTTTGCGTCGATAAAAAGTTGACACAAAAAGTCGAAAGTCGACGCAAATGCTTCTTTAGAGCATCTCTAATGCTCCACTTTAAACTTTAAAAAAATCGGGCCACATCACAACTTTATAAAGTACTTCGTATTTGTTTTTTTCAACTTCAATGGGCTCTTTCATGCGCTGAGGTGTACAAAATAGTTGTCGACATCGTGAACCATACTTTCTTAAACTGAAAAGCCAGTTGAACTGGCTGACTCAGCGAATTAAGGCTCATCGTGGGAGAAATAAGCGGGTTTCAAGATGTGCGGGAAAAAATGGCTCAACCACCGTCGAAAAGTAGCACCAATCTATCTCCATTATTCTACATAACTTGTTCCATCTCCATCCCCATATACAAGCCACCGCCTCAGCCATAGCCACAATTCTTACCAGTCCATATTCTTGAATTGGGAATTCAAAGCCTCTTCTATTTTCTCGTATATCATCTATCTGACTATCTCAGTGCACTTCTTCTTCTTTTTTGGAATTACAGTCTTATAGCTCTCTACCCCTCTCCAATTTGGTATTGTCAACCTTCACAAAATAGGTAATACTTTTTTAATTTCTCAGAGAAGATGGTGAATCTATTGGTTTGCAATTTATCAGTTTTATGAATTGGGTTTTGGATAAAATTGGTTGTTAAGATAATTGAGTCTCTCCCTCAATGGAGGCTCGAAATTCTCACCTCCAGTGGTGACTCAAACACTTTAGTCCGGCGGCAAGATATTTGAGACCACCATCTCTACACTTAAGTCTAGCAGTCTGTATTCCCTGTTAAACCTTTCAAAAAAGAAAATATATATTCAGATTTTTAAAGATTTTTTCACAACTTCCATTAGAAAATAAAATGGTAGAAAGATTGAGTTGATTTGTTTAGTGTTATCCTCGTTTTTTATGTATTTAGTCCAATTTTAGGTATTATCGATAATTGTAATTCTAGATGTTGTCAATAATGATTTCAGACACTCTTAGCAATATAGAGATGTAAGAACTAAGAAGGTATATTCTGAATTTTTAATATCATAGAGCATTGCCACTGATGGACTATTCCACAATAGCTTTTTTTTTTCAAGTTACAACTTTCAAATCAGATAAATAACCATTGTATCTGGTGATAATCAGATATTAAGAGGTGATCATAAATTTATTAGAAAAAATTCCTACACTGGTGCACTTCTGCTAACTCATCAGAAGTTGACAATATGCTGGAATAAGCAACAAAAAGAACTAAAAAAAGATAGACCACATCCTTCCAATGATCATCATTCACACAAACAAGCAGATAGTACAGTTCAATTCAGAAGGCCAGTTTTGTTATGAGCTTCTTGTCTAGGAAGATAAAACATTCTGAACTTCTGCAGTAACATCCTTTGGTTGTTTTTCAGCATGTAAGCTAGCAACAATACCCTTCTTTGAATAATAATCTATAACCGGTTTTGTTTGGCGGTGAAAAGCCTCGAGCCTGGACTTGAGAACAACACAGTATCAAATAAATATTTTGATCTAAATGTTCCTTAATAAAAAGATGAAATAAGTATTTTAGTCAATTTTACACTAATGCTACCAAATAGGGAGCAGGTTTGCTGACTGGTCTGATATACATGATATAGTGACTGTTATATGTTACTAGCCAAATGTCAAGGTAAACAATCAAGTTAGTTAGTATTCTTATTTATGTATTCATTTTTTATTGCAGGACAAGTTGGATTATTTATAAGTGACCTTTTTATTAGTGACCTTTTTGCTACTGTAAATTTATAGAGTAATTTTGCAAGTAATTCATTGTCCATTAGGTATGTGTAGTTTATTGGTTGGTTCTGTACACTTGATTGGTAAGGAGTTTAGAAGAGAATGTTCCTCCACACACTTGGTTTTTGTATTAAGCACTAAATTAGTAAAGTAATACTATCTACTATATATGTGCAGGCTGAATTTTGAAGTGGAACTTAGCAATTTTTACCTACTGTAATCAAGATTTCACATAATTTGATTTTGGATCAACTATCCTTCTATTGCTAGTTTTAGAACATGAGAAGTTCAATTCTTTTAACAATTTACTCACATCATCTCTTTTTTATTCTCTACATATGTGCTATTTATATCTATAGCATAATTTCTCTTTTTATGCACAGAAAGGATTAGGCTACATATACATGGATTCACAGGACCATACTAACCTTCCATTTACTAGTGAGAATCAATCTGCCAATTATGGAATTTCATCCCAGAATTTGAACCAATTTAACCCAATGAACAATCCAATGATGCAGCCTATGTATCACTTTGATCCAACTATTGGAGCATATGCTATCCACATTGATCAACACAATAGACCTACATTTCCCTTCCAGCACATGTTGAATACCCCTATGGGCACTCAGAACATTGAGACAGTGAATGCATTAAACAAGAGAGCTAAAGACATTCAAGATCCAAATCTCTCTCAAAATGCAACATCTAAGAAAGATTGGACTACAGAAGAGGAGGTTGCTTTAACAGAAGCTTGGTTATATATATCCACAGATGCTGATGTCGGAACTAATAAAAAAGTCCAGCTATGTGGAATCGTATATTAGAAGTCTGGAAGGAGAAAATGGGGCCCGAGCACAAGAAATCTAGGAATAATAATAGCATACAATGCCATTGGCACCAAATACGAGGTGCAGTAGCCAAATTTGTCGGGAAATATGAACAACTAGAAAGACATCCGAAAAGTGGAACAAATTCGGAAGACTTTGTAAGAGTATTATATTGTCTTTAGTTTTAAACTAAGTTTTGATTAACTATTCTTTTTCTTTTTTCTGTAGTTGAGGTAGACGTTGGAGTTATACAAGGATTTCTATGGCAGTCATTTCAAATTTCTTCACTGTTGGACAATCTTGGTCAAGAATTCAAAATAGTGCTCAACAAATCTTACGAAGACGGGGGTACAGCCCAAAGGTAAGTCTGACAAAAATTATTCACCACCGGTAGGTGACTCTGCAACTAGTATCCATGAAGATCGAGTTCCCCCTGATGGCATTTAACGCGGAAGGTGTTGTGCGCCCACAAGGAAGAAAAGCTTGTAAAGAAAAAAAGCGAAAACTAAATGAAGAAAAGGGTGTTGTCGATGTATTGAATAAGCTACAATCTACTCTGCATAAACAAGTTAGTTTCAATATGACAAGCTTGGAGTTGAGAAAAGAGAATGATGAGAAAGAATTTCAGTTGAAAGAGCAAGTGATGAAAAAAGAAATTGAACTAAAGAAAAATGCTCAGAAGTTGAGGAAAAAGGAGAGAGCTCAGAATTATATCATGAATCAAGATCTAAGCAAGCTATCACATCGAACTTTCTTTGAAATCATGAAAGCTGAGATTTCAAAAGAATGGGAGAGAGATGCTCTTTCCTAAATTTGTGTATTAAGTGATGTTGTCTTTAGTTGAATTTCATTTAGTACTAATTTTGTAAGTAAGTTTTTTTATCTCTTGTTTAGTTAATCAAACTTGTGTTGGTGATTATTTTATGTGTTTATTTTGAATACATTTTTCAAGTTAAATGATTTTCAAGCTTCTATTATAAGTTGTTTATATATGAATCATAAAATCTAGCAACAAGCCAGACAATGTTCAGGCTCCCTGCCGCACTAATTGTAAGCAAGATTAATTTTGAATTCACACGGTTGAACTAGTAGTAATTATAACTTAACCTCAACTGGGTAAAAATAAATTCTACCTTATAAATGCATGCATTTGTTACGGATAGATTTAATGTGATTGCTTTTGTTATGTTTATTGTGTAGGTAATCAAAGATGGTGCAATAGTTCAGTCAGGGAAGTATGAAAATCTCATAGCAGACTTAAATGGTACGTGAGCTTGATAGACACATGGCTGCACACCACAAATCACTAAATCAATTCAGCCCTTCCAAAAACTGCTGCATAAACAAATGAAAAAATCCAAACAACTTGATGGTTGAAATGATAGAAGAATGTGAAGAAGAACTAACGTGCAATGATAAGCAGTTGGAAAACTCTCAACAGGAAGAGACTGCTGGATAAACAAGTGTCAAAATCCAAACACCTTGGTGATTAATGTTTACTTCACACATACTTTGGAAATCAGTTAATTAAATGTTAGTCCATTATAATAAAAGAATGAGTGTAAATATAGTGTATCATCAAGCAACTACCCTTCAAAATAACATAAATGATAGCGAACTAGCTAAAACTTTAAGTGTCATATCACAGAAATTTAACATACCATTGTTTTACATTTATTATAGTTTATATCAATCAAAACATCTAATAAAAAATCAAACCAGATGGTACTAAACCATGATCACTTCAAATTTGAGCCTAAATGAACCAATCAAGGTCCCCATGATATATAAAATCAATCACCTTCATTGGTGCCATATATTTCCCACAAATGGTTGATAAGATCATGCTTCAAGGCTTTATGTGCCTATTTGCTTTGTATTCGCTTCATTCGAGTATTCATCATTGACATGAGAAAAGTAAAATCATGCTCCAAAGTCACATTTTGAGGAACTTCATCTTTGTCTGGTTGCCAATTTTCAGGGTTGATACCTCGATCAGACTCATTTTCAATAATCATATTATTGAAAATGATGCATGTCTTCATTATTTTTCTCAAATCAATTGCACTCCACATACGTGCTGGTCCTTTAACTATATGCCACCGACTTTGTAACACTCCAAATGCTCGCTCCACATCTTTACGTACTGATTCCTGACGTTTTGCAAATAATTTTTCCTTCATAGAACATGGTTGTGAAATTGTTTGAATCAAAGTGGCATATGGCGGATAGATCCCATCAGATAAGTAGTAGCTCATATTATAGTGATGACCGTTTACTATGAACTCACATGAAGGAGAAACATCATTAACAATATCATCAAATAAGGGAGATCGGTCCAGGACTTTAACATCATTGTTAGTACCAGTCATGCCAAAGAATGCATGTCAAATCCATAAATTATACCCAGCTACAATCTCTAGAATAAGAGTTGGAATTTTTTTAAAACCATTAGTGTGTGTTTCATGCCAAGCAGTCGGACAATTCTTCCAATGCCAATGCATACAATCTAAACTACCAAGCATACCTGGAAATCCTCGTGATTCGCCATCCTTTAGTAAAATGGTAATATCGGATTTATTTGGTTTTCTTAAATATTGTTCTTCAAATAATCCTATTATAGCATCACAAAATTTCTTTAAACATTCAATAGTGGTGCTCTCTCCAATTTGAACATATTCATCAAGAGAATCGGCTGAACAACCATATGCAAGCATGCGTATTGCTGCTACCACTTTTTGTAAAGAGCTCCACCCAATATTTCCAACCGCATCAGTCTTTAATTTGGATGAAGTAATCACCATAACTCTCGATGGCCAGCCAAATTCGTTTAAATAGATCAATATCCATTCGAAACCTTCGCCGAAATGTTTCTGGTGTATACTTTGACTGCTCACCTTTTAAATAATCACTAAAAATCATATCATGCCGCTCTTTTCTATCACGCCGGATATAAACCCTACCAAATTTCGAACCGCCATGTGGGAGCTTTTTTTCCACTAACAATGTAGAAATCATCACAGGAACATGAACTACACAAGTCTGAACTACATTGGAGTTTGTTTCCTCATAAACATCATCTCTTGTGAGTTGCTTATCGAATGATTTTTTAGTAAGAGAGAGGGATCTTGTGCTGGATGTTCCACTATCAGATTCCGATTCATAATTCAGTGATGCCATATATTATAATATGACCCTATTAAAAAAAAAAATCACACCTGTTAATATGAACCTTTAAAAAAATAATTCACACTAGCTTGATCTCATAACTTTGCATTCAAAATTATTCTCAATATACTATATGCATGTAAATTTTTGTTCTCAACAAATTGAAATAATATTACCTTGAGCAAGTGTCTCCAGCCTTAGAAAAACAAAAAATATTGAAAATTCGACTGGTGAAAGACAGATGAATTCTACATGAATTAATGGATAATAAAATTAGTTTTAAAATCAATGTTTTTTTAAAATATTAAGAAACTGGAAAATCCTAATGAAGATCTTGAGTATCAATGACCTGATCCAATAGTTCGAGCCGAAAAGTTGTTTGAGTTGCTAGTGTCCAAAATCCTTGCCCCCCCTCAGCTTCTTCTTTGTGTCTTGCCAGAGCACAAATGTTCAGATTTTTTACAAAGATGAGATTGCCGTTATAAGTGGATTAAATATAGCCGAAGGATTTTTTTTTCAAGTTCAAATATAACCGTATGAAAGGAAGGTTGAAAGCATCCATTGCATACGGATCAGGAAGTTCGAATTTTTAGGTTTACACATCCCTCCTATGTGGTTTGACATTCCACTCATTTAATGACATGTGTCCAATTTTTTTAATGTTGAAGGCATGGCGTTAAAGATGCTCTTAGCGTCAACATGTCGACGCGAATGTGTCGATGCTAGTGCCTGCGTGCAAAAAAATAAAAAGAACCTTAGTGTCAACATGTTGACGCTAAAAGTAAAAACATTTCTTAAAAAAAATATAATAAATTTACAATATATTATTGTTGTTGTTTATTTAATCAAATACTAAGCATAAGTATTATTAATACATATCAATAATAAAAAAATATAGACTTTCATACAAATCCAATTACAAAAATGAGTATTAATCATCTATTACATATTCTTACAAAAGCAAACTATTATAAAGTTTTACTTCACCGTATTGAATCCAAGAGTGTTAATCATCTAGGAGCATTAAATATTCTTCCAAAAGGCCACTTGTGTATATTTACTGCATATGGTCTCTTATTAGTTCTGAATTTTTAGCACTTCTCCTGAAACATGAAACGTTGTACTACTTTAATATTTGGAATTTTATCAATTCAAAACTTGAAAGGTAAATGAATTATCAATCTGAGACCTGAAAGAAGAAATTTATAGATATAAGACTCAAATTATGAAAATTGTCAATCTAGGACTTGAATGATTGAAGACTATCAATCTTGGACCTATATTGTCATGAATTTTTATTATTTTTATGTTAAAATTTTTAAATATTATTTAGTTTTATTAAACTAATGAACTTTTGTGGAAAAAAGTTTATCAAAAATTAGCAAAGGAATTAATAAAAAAATAATAAAATCAAAATCTATGAAATCTTAGATCCTAGATTGATAATTTTCATCTTTCGGGTCCTATATTAATACATTTCATCTTTCGGGTACCGAAATTATAATTTATCTATCTATAAGGTCCTGAATTGATAAAAGTTCTTAATATTTTGATGATGTACATTAACTAAGAAATGTTATGCTACTTTAATATTATACTTACATTTTTTTAATTTTTTATTGGTTAGACTTACATTAAGGTAGGGATGACTCCGATTTTTTGGGTCTGCCACTGATTTGAGTGGATCAATCAATTTTTATATTTCTTTATACACGTCATTGTAGCAACCCTACCCTAAATCCAAAGTTGGTGTTGAATTTTCGGGTCATTCGGGACTTAAATTCAACAGAGTGGATTCTTATTTCGAACAAAAGTAAGGTTCGGTGATTTAGTCATACCTACTTTTGTTTGTGTTGTTAAGTTCTGTAATTTTACTCATTTATAGATTGTGTCCGATAATTAATAAATTTATACCGTAAGATATTTTCCTCTGTAATGCGTAACTTTGCGTGAAATTTTACTAGAAATGCAGCCACTGACATAGACTTCACTCACTCCATTGTACTCCCTCCGGTTCCTATTAAAGTTCTCAGTTTGACTTCACACAGATTACGAAAATAAATTTGACTTTACTGTAGAGTGCACTGTTTGACACTGTTTGGACACTGTTTGGCACTGTTTGGCACTGTTTGACACTGTTTGGACACTGTTTGGACACTGTTTGACACTGTTTTGTTTCCTACAATGGAAGTGTGAACTTAAATAAGGGACATCCCAAAAAGGAAAGTGAGAACTTTAATAGGAACCGGAGGGAGTATAAAAGAATGGGGAGTTCTACGGTGCACCCGTTAATTTGATTGTACCGTACGCGGACCAATAATATTGTAGAACATGGAAATAATTAAAATATATATGAATTTTAATGTCCATGTGGCATTATTTTATTTGCCTACGTAAAGAAATGTACCGTACATGCGAAATTTAGAGATGCACCATAGAATTTTCCTGGGGAGTTCTACGGTGCACCCGTTAATTTGATTGTACTGTACGCGGACCAATAATATTGTAGCACATGGAAATAATTAAAATATATATGAATTTTAATGTCCATGTGGCATTATTTTATTTGCCTACGTATTCATGATGGAAAGTTCATTAATGTTCATTTATACTACGTATTCATTAATGCAGGTAAACATATTAGTTACATGTAATGATCTATATTTTTCCTATTATTATGGAGATGCTCTTTTAGTTGATATATACTCCCTCCCGTCCCTATTAAAGTTCTCAGTTTGACCTCACACAGATTAAGAAAATAAATTTGATTTTACTGTGAAATGCACTGTTTGACACTGTTTGGACACTGCTTGGCACTGTTTGGCACTGTTTTGCACTGTTCTGTTTCCTACAATGAAAGTGTGAACTTAAATAAGGGACATCCCAAAAAGGAAAGTGAGAACTTTAATAGAGACCGGAGGGAATATATTATAACTTGGGCTTAAATTTGTTGATCTGATCGGGTTTAGTGTGTTTAAATCTTGTCTGATATGATAAATGTCTAGTCTGTGTGTATTTTATAACTATGAAAGTACGATCTGATCTGATCTGATAAATGTCCAGTCTGTGTGTATTTTATAACTATGAAAGTTCGGTCTGATATGGTCTATTTAAGTCTAGTCTGGTCTGATCTGGTCTGGTCTGATCTATTTAAATGTGGTTTGGTCTCAGTAAAAACATCCTTATAGGAACAATTAACAAATGCATAAGTTGTAGGACTAAGTATATTATTTTCCATAACAAAACTACCATGTACGCACAATCAGTTGTTACAAATTTACAATTGTTGGTATACTTCTTTTAATTCAACTAAATAATAATTTAAATAAACTCAAAATCAGAGAGCTGGTATACTTCGTATATACTCCGTATAACAAGTAAAAAAGCAATCAAATGATCCAATTTCACACAAACTTTTTCTAGCCAACACAAGCATAAAAACTGTAATTAAGAACGAATTTGTTTTCAAGAGCATATAGTTCTAACAAACGCATGTGACCTATTCATTGTGGATTTTAAAGATTCATTCATTCTTCCGCTCTTGTGCATCTAAATAATACGGAGTATTTAACATCTGCATTTACTAGCATTCAAGTATCTCCAATGGTCAACTCTCATGTAAATGTCAATTCAATCTAACTATTTATTTTTTGAATAAAAAATGTCAATTCACTATAAAATTTGAAATTTGCATTTTGTGGTCATTTGACGACATTAATCATATGGTATCAATGGTATATTCAACAAGGCCTATCTAGTGCTCCGTATCTACATACATTTTAAATAACTTCAAAAATTAACAATTCCTAAATAAATAATTGGAATGTGGTCGTCTAGCTTAGTACTTGTAAAACTAGTACTTCGTATAGAGTATCTTAGAAGTTAGAATAACTTACTTTCACTCGATATATACTCCATTCGTCCTATAAATAGTTCACGCATTTACTTGGATCGGAGTTTTAAAAAGTGAGAATAAATTGAATGTATGGTTGTGGTTGAGTAAGAAAAAGGTAAATGAGTGTTAGCCACAAAAAACTTTTCAAAAAGAGAAATGAGAACTATTTTTTGGGATGATCCAGGAAAGAAACTGGGAACTATTTTGTGCAACGGAGGGAGTATTACTTCAAAGCTGTAATCTAAAAGAAGTAAGACATGTCAAAATGGCAAGATCAAACCTTAAGGCTCCAAAGCCTATACAGATTTAGGAAATGTTTGTGTGAAGTGTGTTTCGATTTTAACTGTTAGTTTATTTTTCCTAAAGCCATTATTAAATATGTCAACATACAAACACAAAAGAAGAGTTGCTAAAAAAGGATAGACACCCTATCCCTGAGGGCTCCCCAACCCCGACCGGACGGTACGTTGGGAGGATGTAAATTGGACTATAATTGTTGGAAAATTGAGAAGTATTTCAAATGAATAAAGTATTTTTTTTTTCATATTCTATCATTTATTAAATCAAATAAATTGTACTTAAATCTTTAAACTTTGCAACGTGTTAAACACAATTAAGTGAAATGGTTACATATCTTTTCAAATGATTAAGAATTGTTGTTGGGCGGTTATAAAGTTAATAACCTACGTTACACTAAAAATTATATAACTTGGTTATTAATCAAATTTAATGAGATGTGCACCAACGTTTATAATAGTTATAATGCTCCGAACGTTAGCTTTAATGAAATATCATCTATCTGGCATGCAACTTCAACGTTTGTATATTTGCATGCATATATATATGTGTGGGTTCGGCTAGCAATAAAAACAGAAAAAATATATTTTTTGAGCTATGAAAAACAACTCTTCCAATTTTATTCTGTTGGATTAATATATAATTTTCACTCTCGTTGTTCTGTTACCGGCTTACGCCGAAGAGCTCGTTATATCTTGGGGAAAGGTTTTCGCTAGTCGGAAATACTTTCTTGAGGACAGCGTCTGACGCGTCTCGAGCTATATTATTATTTCTAACACTTTTTTGCAGGTTTATCCGACCAATTCCATCAACAATCTCAAGAAAGTATATGGCGTCGGATATGCCTGCACACATGATCTTACAAGTTGTCGCCGTCGCACTCATCGCGGCTATTTTATCTTTGCACGTGTGTTGTGATTTAGACTGGTATTTGGATATATCTCTACGTATAATGATTACTCTCTTCACTTTCCTACTTACAATAAGTCATACTTTAACACTATTTTTTAAGAGAAATGTTATTCTTTTATTTAGTGGTAAAATGACAATTATGAAAAACAACAACCCGCCAAAATCAAGTTTAAACTTGGTTTGTAGTGATGATAATTTCATTGCGGTTGTTTCTCAAAGTTGTAAAACTAATGATGTGAATGAGTGGGTGGTAGACTCCGGGGCTACCAAGCATATTTGTAAAAACAAAAATGCTTTTTCCTCCTATACTATTATAGGAGATGGTGAAGAGCTCGTGTACCTAGCGGACTCTAAAACCGTTAAGGTGCATGGAAAAGGGAAAGTTCTTCTGAAGCTCACATCGGGAAAAACTTTATCACTAAATGATGTGTTGCATGTGCCCGAGATTCGGACTAATTTGG